GTACGTTCTCTATCCAGTACACACCACCAGTTCTCTATCCACGTACACACTAGCCAGTTCTCTATCCACGTACACACCACCTCATCTATGCCCATAGCCCTCAGCTTGTGTAGCAAGCGTTTGTGTGGTACCGTATCAAAAGCCTTTGGGAAATCCAGATATACCACATCTACCGGCCTCCCTCCATCCATATCTCTACTTACCCCCTCATAAAAAGTTAGCAAGTTAGTTAGGCAGGAACGATCTTTCCTGAACCCATGCTGATTGTCATTAACTATCCCGTTTTCCTGAACACATTCTACCAGATAATCCTTTATTATGTCGTCTAGCATTTTACAAACTACCGATGTTAGACTGAGCGGCCTATAGTTCCCAGGTTGGCACCTAGCCCCCTTTTTGAATATTGGGACTACCGTAGCCCTCCCCCAATCACTGGGGATCCTACCAGTTATAACCTGGCTTAATTCCTTAAGTACCTTGGGGTGAAGGTTATCCAGAAATGAAATGTCTAAATGGACCTGTGTCCATTTATTTTGCCCATCTAATGCTGTAATAATCATTGTTAAAAAAAATTGTCAGATTAAACATTTCTTCTGTATATATAGTTTGATTGAAATTGCTTCCTATTTTTTTTTTTTTGTATTACAAATGATAATCTAGCATTTTTTTTTAGCAATATTGCCATGAATATACAACTGCATTGTGATCTACAATATAAATTCGTTTTTAAATTTCTCACTTAGTATTTTGTAAACATTGAATCAGGAACCACCTAACATTAGGTTTTAATTAAAGTTTTTTTCTTCTTTTAATACATAAAATGTGTCTTATGTGTCCAAATTAATTCTAGTGATTTCAGGTAAATTGTATAAACATACATGCTTCTGTGATTTAACATCATGGATCTTTTTTCTGAGCCACTGTATTTTATGCATAAAATATCATTTTGTTGGAGTGGAACACAGTAATTAAATTTCTAATGCTGGGTGACTTTCTGCATGTATGCTTTCAGATTTCTGTTTTTCTATGAAACAACATTTATCTTCCTCTGATATGATGGATGAATAGAAATGTTTGTTATTGCTTGTTTGGATCATTATAATCTGAAATATATCAAACTCCAGATTTGCTAAGCAAAACAATCTTCTCTTTTTTTTCCCCTATTCTTTTTCAGTTTGGAAATAATAACAACTACATGAATATGGCAGAAGCCAATAATGCATTTCTCGCCGCAAATGAGGTAGGTGTACTTTTATCTCTTCTCATATACATCTGTTTGCTTAGATAATTTAGCAGACGGGATAAATAAGATTGAAACTCTGCATCTGAATGTGTTTCATGGAGCACAAAATAAAGACTTTAATAAGAAAGAAAATAACCTGACAGTACTGCATTACTACTCAATTTAGCTGGCCATAAGGCAGATACTCCTGCAGCATGCCAATGTGGTAGACACTTGCCTAATGGGAAATCAAGCACTCTGTGAACAAGATGACTTTTCTGACAATTAGAAACACATGGATTTTTTAAATTCTGCTATAAGTGCCGTTACAAATGGCTCACAAATATCACAGCCTGTAGTAAACCATGTTAGCTAGTTGCAGATAATCTGCCATTTTCTAACTACACTGAAGAGCTAAAATTTGATTGCATGGTTTGTTTTGTTGCTCATGGTGCTAGATATATTGTTAAATAGTCATCAGCATTAAATAGTCATATATTTCTGTGTAATCTAATTTAACTACCTAATATAAGTAGGCTTTGGCAGTAAAAAATAAAAACCAACCCTAACTGTACTGCTTTTCAGACTACCCTATTTGGAGCCTTCCAAAAGGCCATAGACCGTAACTGGAAAAAACATAATATCCTCTTTGATCATATAATACTAAGCATGAGCACTATTGTTTATGGAAAGAACCGCATGCCTTATTAGAGACACCTTACCCCAATACCACTTTAAATGGGACCCTTGGCTCACCTACAGTGAGATTTTACCACGTAGTCATTAAAGCTCTGGATTTGATATAAGATTTTCATATAAAATTTGCGTATCTATAGAACTTGCTTGCATTTCTTATTTGTTATTTCATTAGTGTTTATAAATATCACCATGGTATATACACAAAAGATTGTGTGCTGGTACACATTATCTTTGCATGCACTAATTGTATCTTCAACTCAATAAAATTTCAGTAACAGAAGCGAAAGCTCAAGAAGTAGAGGGACAGGTTCAGGAGATTTAGGTATATCTCTCTTTTTTTTTTGCCAAAGATTGATCTTGTAGAAGGTAGATGGGGTGACAATGTTCCAGATAAAAAATGACAGAGAGATCCTTGATGTGCCAATTTTTGCTGGTAGATCTAGAATTGCACATGTGGAGATGGGAGCATATACAGTCCACATATTCTGTCATATTCAGTAAGCAGTTTGGATAGTAAATTTGTTTTTTAGAGTTTTTTTGCAAGAGAACCTACACCACACTTCTGTCATTAATGCAGATGCATTTAGGATAGGATTTTTCCAGCTTCTCTTTTGTCATGCAGATGTATTGATGCGAAAGGGGGATGGGTTGCTTTCATCATCACAGCAGATGTGTGGTTTAATAGTTCACTCAATACTATGGCTTTATCATCCCACTTGGATGTGGGCTTTGTAAGGCTTCTGCTAAAAAGGCGATGCACCCTGCAAATGTGTAACAAAATAGTGGAAACAGGCATCTACCGAAATAAAGGCAGGCTAGAATGGCTGGACATTTTTAGCTAAAGCAGTGACAACAAAGTTCCTGGATAGCCATGTTGTACATGTACTTAGCTTGCACATTTTAAGGTTGACTGATATTATACAGCATGACTAACATTTATTAATGTATGTTATCTAGGGCACATACTTTTTCTTTCTGTAGGTTATCACAAAATATTCAGGCCTGCTGATTTATATCACGGCTGATCATTCATTTTTACATTTAACATGAATCAAAAGTCATATGCTGCCAAAATGTTATCATTTTGTGGGGGGAAAAAGTACCTTTTAATTGCCATGAATGAGGACAAACTAAGCTCCTAAAATCCCTATGCTGTTCTAAAGTTGAAGCACATGTGATATATGTACCTGTGCACAGACATAATTACAAACTATACATAAAACCAGCATTTTTAATATCGGCACACATGTTTGAGATTATTTGCATTAAGCTTAGCTACTTCACATGTATGTAAAAATTAGTTTCCCCATTATCTAAAATTGGGATGTCCATAGAATGTCTTAAGGCAGCTTTCCACCAAAAACTTTTTTTTCTGGGTAAATTTGAAAACAAAATAAAGAAAAACTATGCTTATTATTCGTAAAGTCTAAGTAGTCTATTTTTATAAATGTTTTCACTTAAGTTTCACACAACTTTCAGGTGTTGCATATACATTTTGTATTGATCACAGAAGGTGGGCGTGTCTGGATTTACTTTACGGTTAGAAAAGACTGAGCTTGCTTGCATGATCTGCTTTTTATCCAGGTTTGAAACATTCAATGTAACTCTTTAAGCACATACTTAGTAGTTTTTCTGTGCTTGCTAATATTCATCACAATGTCTAGCCTTGTACAGTATGGGATGTACCTACAGATCATGGAACTGGATAGGTTTCACTGCAGAAAAAAAAGCTTCTAAACTGAACTAAACTTTTTCTGCAGTGTCAAGTTTTCTGGAAAGTTTGTTTCTTTATGGCTGAATTCTATCTCCATATTTTCCCAACTGGCTAGATGGTTACTACATGCTATTGCCTTATTATGCCAATATGATTTGAGTTCTGTATTAGACATGTGCATTCGGATACAGATCAACAAAAAAAAAAACGAAAATCAGTTCATTCAGCGGTTTGTCCATATCCGAAATAATAAATGTAATATATTCCATATACTAATATATTCCATATACTAAAACGATATTCGGGCATACATAAATACGTTCTAGAACATGCCGGTGGCCATATTGGCCACCGACATGTTTTGCGCATGCCCGCCACCATGTTGGAGGCGGAGCGCGTGACATCACATGACGGTGATGTTACACGCTGAACGAGCGGCGGCCAGAACGGCTGGCAGCGCATTCTGCGCATGCACATCGCCATTTTGGAGTAGATCTTGGTATATGCCAAGATGGTGGCACTCGAACACCATCGGGCGCCACCATCTTGGTGTATACTAAGATCTAGTCCAAATAGAACATGGCGGCGGTTGATATGGCCGCCGCTTGTTCTTCGGTTTTGGTGGTTTCGGATTCGGAGGCTCGTTGCCTCCGAATCTGAAACGTAAAAATTTGTTTCCTTTGACAAATGAACGTTTTTCATTTGGGAACACATTTTTTTTGTTGTGCACATGTGTACTCTGGTTGTGTGCTTTTTTTTTATTTGCTGATGCTGTTGTTGACTCTGAAAGCCTACACCATGTCGCCTTATCAAGCCATTTTAGTGTATACTTTTGCTAAGCGTCCTTATGTTAAGAATACTAATTTGATAATATAACAGGACATTGTGTTCATGTCTCATTATTGGGAGGACTTAGGACTGATTTTCTGCTGGAAGTTATTTAGCTTGCATGCTTTTTCCATATACCTTTTAAGAGTAGTTTAATCTGGTCTTTAGTAGGAGGTAATCAGTATAGCAATATATTAAATTATTTTTTCCTGAAATGCCCAGTATTTCAATCATAATTTAAAGCCCCAGCTGACTTATGACCAGAATTTTTTTTTTCTTGTCCTAATGAACAACGGGTCAGTGATTGCCTTTACAAGGCAAAGCAAGTAAGGTTAACATATCCTGGAGGTTATGTGAAGAATGCCAAGCAGACATATTAAACATTTTAACCCCTTCGTGACTGACAACGTACAGTGTACGTCGCCAGCATCGGGGCTGTTCAAACAGACTCCCGGCGACTTTTGCCGCCGGGACTCTGTTTAAACTTGTAGAGCCGACTGTCGGCTTTACAACAGAAGCGATTCTGGCGACTTACCTGTTGCCAGATCGCTTCTGTGTCCCGAAGAAGGGCCCCCCCCTACCGGACACCGCCGCCGTGCTTCCCGGGCTCCTTTGCCCCTCCTACGTGCCCGGGATCGGCGTCCTTGGTGTCCGTGGGGAGCTGGGGAGGAGGTCGACGAACTTCCGTTCATCGATCCCCTCCCCGTTCTATGGGACCGGGAGCGATGCAGATTGCATCACTTCCGGTCCCTGGGCTGTCAGTTCTGGGCTCCTGTAGCCCACCTATAAGCTATTGAAGTGTGATCTGCACTTCAATAGCTTATTTCCAGTGTAAAGGTGACACTGGGGGTCTTTTGGACCCTCAGCATCACCTTAAAGAGTACCTGTCACCACCATCTATCACATGGGGGGGGCTTGTAAGCCGTCAAAGTAAAGTAAAAAAAACAAAACAGTTTTTAAAATTAAATAAATCTAATAATAATAATAAAAAACATTTAAAAGGCCCCCGCATCGCCACGTAAACACGTGTCGGGTGCGTCTACGTATGAAAACGACGAACGCGCAACACATTTTGGGTATCGCCGCGCACGCCGGAGTGAGCAATAATTCTAGGGCCAGTATTTTAGGGTATCTCTAAATTGACCTGTGGGGGCTTTTAAAGCGTCTTCTCTGGACTTTTTGGGGTACTGCAGTTTTTCGCCGTTTCACGGACGGACACAATTTGTAAACTGGACATGTTGGGTATCGTTTTACTTGTTGTAACCTCATCTTTTATATTTAATTAAAAAAATGGGTATTTTGTTGTGTTGTGGGGCATTTAATTAAATGTATCACTAAATTTGGGGGTTTAATAAGGAGTTGCGCTAATATTGCGCAACATAAAAATTTGCAACTACCACCATTATATTGTATAGGGTCTTGGCATTCTGAAAATATATAATGTGTGAGGGTTTTAAATAATTTGCAGGCCTAAAATGTGGAATATAACATGGGTGCAAAAAATTAAAAAAAGGTCTCAGTCATGAAGGGGTTAATATAGCTGCCATAGTGAAAAAAGGAAAAGTAGACACTTTTACACTTTCTTGATATGGCTCACAAAATGAGCAGTGAGTAAGTTATCTTACCACAGTGGAACAGATGCTATGACTGACAGAAATATAGCCATTGCTGACCACTGCTAACCTCCTGGAAGAGCTATCTGGAGGAAGAAGGCAGGTCAGAAAAATCAGAGTGAATCCAGCTCTTAATCTGCGCCTCTGCTCTATGTCAATAACTTAGAAAATCCTAAAGCCATTAGATAATCAGAGCAGCAAGAAAACTAATATTTAAAAATGTGGTCAGCCTCAATATTTCTTTAATACAGGTTACAATTTAAGTGTTATATGTTTTACTTAATGAAAAGTGATCCAGTGGCCCATATGACAAAATCTAAACCAATATTTTGGCAAGGTTACCTCATAAGTGGGGCTCATTATTCAAGCCTTTGTCTCTGCCTAGTGGCTTAAAGGAAATCTGTCATGAGAAAATAATGAAGGCTTCTATTTATGACCTCTCCTTATAAAAATGCTTGTTTCCTGGTTGTTTTATTGACCTTTTCACTTTAATACTGAAACACTTTACCACTGTTGGTTATGCAGATTAGGGCTTATGACTGTACTCTGACTTTTTCAAGGTCATTGACTCAGAAAGTATTGTCAGTAACCAAATCATCTTAACAGCTAGATGACTAATATTCTCTAATGACAGGTTTACATTAAAATGGAGCTTGCACCTACATAGCAAGGTCTGCTTTTCTAGTGTGGCCCCAACACCCCTTTTTGAAACACAAAATTAATTCTAAATACCTGTAGGGAAACAAGTAAGATATACAATATCTACCTTTCCTTTGGATTCCCCCCACAGACTTAGGTGAGAGTGGCATCATCCCCCTTCTGGTGAGATCCTGGGGAATGTTGAGAAGCCTAAAACTCGCTGTTAGTATGATACTGCACTGTGATGCAGCCTCTTCTCAAAAGTGTTGGAGTGGTCCGCATTCTCTGGGATCTCTTTGGCAGGATTGTGAAGTCACCCCTCCACTACAGATGGGTATATTGTCTAACTTTTTTTTCTCTATAGGGGTTTTTATGAAGTTAATACAGTGTTTCAGCAAAGGGGGAAGGGGGCACACTGAACCTTACATGGAGTGTAGCAGGCCTTCATTGAACATATTGGATATATTATATTTGTGTAGAATCTGCTCCCAAGCTAATGCTCTTGCAAACAGGGGGCTTTTAAAACAAAAAGCTCATATATCCTCCCCCATGATATAATTAAATATAATTTGAAGTCTTTAAACTTTTTGTGCCTGTGCCTTCTTATCTCAATTGTGCCATGTCCTTTCCTAAAGTTTATAGGTAAAGCCATTTTTATAGTATATGCTTTGGTAGAGAGTTCACAGAAAAAAGTAAGTTTTACTCTTTGGCCATCAGTGTTTCTATTACACCTTAGGCTATGTTCACAAATCTCCTCTCAAAACTGTATCACAAAAACCCATGTTTTTTAAAGTGCAGTGTGTCATAAGGAGAAAATACCCTTCTCTAAAATCTGTGTGAATAGTACATTTCACAGTTTGGGTGAGCTCTTACATAGTACATCTTAAAGTGTATGTAAACCGCAATAATGAACTGATTTTTTGCTCCCTTTTCGTCTTTTTTTTTTTTTAATATACTTTTCGAAGCATTTTGTTAAATCTGTCTGATAAGTGCACAAAAAAAACTGTGTTCATTCCACACTTCCTGTGTTATCTAAAAGAGCCCTCTTATCTTGGATTACAGAATGACTAAGCTTTATGTTGCAGAGATCTGAGGGTTGGCATTGCTGGGTAGTCTAGCAAAAATAAACTGGCAACATTCAGTCCACAAAAATGCTTAGTGTTGCCAGCTTACAACAGGGCTTAAGAGCTGACTGCATTTCTCACAAATAAACATGTACTTGCAGGGTATTTAATGGGATAACCAGATACATTCACCTTATTATTGAAGCTATGTACTGTATATGTTTTTTTATTTTTATTTTGAATTGACATACACTTTAAATAACTACAGGTACCATTTGTAATTCCCAGTGGTTTAGAACAGTGATCTTAATATACATGTGGTGTGTGTTTTAAACACAGTGCAGCACTGGAGTGTGAACAAGATTTTAGTTTGCCACATACTTACACAGCTTACTAGACTAAAGATTTATATAAACACCATAGTTCAAGAAAGAAGTGCAAATGCAATAACTGTGTGCTAGGTCAGTTAAACCAAAGCAACACTTCATAATGCATCTAACTAATAGCTGCCATAGGTTGATGTATGCCACACATAGGGGTTTATTCACTAAAGGCAAATAGGCTGTTCACTTTGCAAGGAAATTTTGCACCTTGAAGGGGAAGTTCACCCTAAGGTTGGTGAATGTAGTGAAATTTCACTAATGAGCATGGGAAAAAACAAAAAAACTATATTTGTATATGTGGAGAAGGATGGATTGTATGTAGAATTTATACTGCTAAAAACGTACAATTTTTTTTTTTTTGAATAATGCACATGATGTCTAACGTATTATTGATATATGAGATGTACAAATATCTTTCTATGCATATTACTAAAATTTATAATGGTGTGGCATGCTGGATGATATACTTAGAGAATTCTTTCTGCATAAAATATAAAATGTTAAAACATCAATATCTGTATTCCGCATGCTATGCAGAATATTACATGGAATATCTGTATGTAGAAGACTGGATACTATATAAGGTTTACTGAAAGAAGAGGAATGCCACAAAATTCAACAATAGCTCAATCTTTAAGTGTATTGATCGTTCTTCTTACTTCCTGCCTGTGAGACAGAGCAGGAAGTGAGAGGAAATCTCTCAAAGCTGAGGGGAAATCACATCTTTGTTGTCACCAGAGCAGGTGCCCCTGTAGGGGGTTCTCCCCTAACACCCTGGTTTGATGACAACTTTTGGATTTCCCATCACCTTTCGGGATACTCTCCCCATTGAGGGTGCATAGAAGTAAAAAAAAAAAAAAACCTGACGGAAGTACTAACCCGTTCCATTAGTCCAAAAATAAAGAAAAACGGTTTTACATAGGGTACAATTTAGGGTGTAGACGGTCATCAACAAGGAATAAAGCGTACGTATGAGCTTGGTACTAGGCTAACACTCTTTATAAAGTGTATACCCTTATTAAATTAAGAAAAAATAAACAAAGATACATGCAACCCTAAGCGCACACACCTTTCACATTTCTCTCCCTTTATATACAGGACGTGATTAATAGTAATGGTCGCGGGATAGTTACCTGCCCCTCATTGCCTTAATATTTTTTTATTTTGTGTCCTGGAGCTCTGGTCACCTAAAAATAAAGAAAAGTGGCATTGTGGCTATGAATAGCATGCTTAGTAATGACATCAACCCAGTTGCCTTTCTGTCATAAATAATGACCCGTTAACAAGCTGAAAGCATGACCTAACAATATTCTGATAACAAAATAAAGTAAATTTAAATGATACCTTTTGGTTTAAAATTGGAGGGATTTTAAACTTTCTGTTGTAAATTGGACCTAGAGTAATACAGTAGGTTGCAAAATCAACTGGACAGTTGGAAAATTAGCATTCCACTCACTTGTCCTATCTTTTCTATGACCATTAAGACTTGCTTAGATAATCGAATAATGTTTGGCATGGGGCCCAGCATTTATTTGTGATAATGAACACAAAACCCCATCTGTAAGGATAACATAATGTTTCATTCTGGAGAATTTCTTCCTACATTTGAATCGAGCATTGATGAAAAGTCCGCTGCTAGCAGCTGTTAAGAGACAATTTAATTCCAGCTGTGATAATTCACCGTGGCAGACATAGGCTGTTATATGTTGATACAACAACCTCTTCGCATTTGCATTTTTATCAAAAGGAACAAATGTTTTCAACATTTCCGTACAGATGGCATTCAACCATCTACACCCTGTTTAGTGTTCTTTTATTTTATATATGGCATGTTCTTAAATGAATAAATGTTTTCTATAGGCCACAGTGTTAGCTAGATAATTTGATGTATTCCTGCTCGTGTAAGGCATTTACTTCTGTGTAATGGCTATATATTAAAGTGAAGTGGCTAAACTTTGTCATCTTGATTTCATACTTTCTTTCACATAATCTAATTTTTTATAGTGTGTCAATTTGCTCCAAATCCTATACTCATTCTATTTAATCTTATATCAATGCTTTCTTTGTTTACACAGAAACAGCAGTGGACTGATGAATGCTTTAAGGTACTCTGTGTATGTTTTAGACATATTTGTGTCATTTACTACCCATTAAAGGTTAAACTCACCCTAAAAAACATGTATATATGACTATATCCATGTTAACTCATAACATCTCCTTTCAGTTACCTGAATGTCCCTCATTTCTCTCATCACTAAATGTTACCTACAGCACAACTACTATTGCCAAATCTATTTTGTTTTTAATGTCTGTCCTTTTTAGACAGGTTCTCATATATAGTGTTTCATGTTTTGCATGTTTTTTGTTACTTTTTGTATGTCTAACTTTGTACTGTGTTTTAGAAGATGTAAATAAAGTAGAAATAATAGTGATTATATATCTTAATGTTACTGAGAATTATTTATGGTGTTGTATTATCAGCAACTGTTTTAATATGCTTAGAAGCACAAATTAATGTCTACATTTGACAAAAAGTGTTCATTAACTCTGGGCGCTAATGGCTGCCAGCTGAAGAATCCACTCGCTGTTGAATAATCAAGGTTTTCCACAGTTTGTCACAGTTTTTCACACAAACTTGAGGGGCTGCTCATGCAAGGCTCTGGGGCTTCCACCATGAGCATAAAGAACAATAGATAACAGGGCGCCACCTCTGTGTGTAAAATCGTTTATTAAAATGAATAAAACAAGATATGTGTACTCGCAAGCAAATGTTTTCATCACGCTTTGATAACGAGCAAGAGGCCACAGCATGATACTGATGAAGAGGGTGTGCCCCTGAAACGCGTCAATCTTGGCTGGCTGCGGCCGGTGGATGGTGATGTGACCGGAGGCAGCTGTGGTTTATAGTCGGTGTGAAACTATGTTGGGTTAACACAGTGTGGTCTCTTGCTGGTTATCAAAGCGTGATTAAAACGTTTGCTTGTGAGGTGCATATATCCCTTGTTTTATTCATATTAATAAACAATTTTACACACAGAGGTGTCGCTCTGTTCCATTTTTTTTTTTATGTCTATATTTGTATATACAGATTGACATAGACACTGTGGCGGGCCCCACTGTGCATGGTCATACAAGCGATTGGTGACCGATTGTATCTAACAGCCGGTAATGGCTTTTCACATTCTTGGCGGGATTCTGCTCGTGCCCACGGGCAGAAAAAAAAATCATACATGTACGTCCACCCGCCAGGAAGCATCCGTGTCCGCCTGTTTTGGTTAAGCCAGCAAGAGGTTAAGCCAGTTATCAAAAAAAGCAAGGGAAGCCACTATCATGGGGAATATGTACAAATGGCAAAAAGCAATCTTATCTTTTAAAGCGATCTTTCCATAAACAGAATTGTTAGCTCTCTCTTACCTACCCAAAACACACTGACAGTATAGCTGCTGTAAGTCCACCCTCATGTGGACTGGCTGTTATGATTCTGCTGACCAGGGAAAAGGCTATGTACTGCATTATAGGTTGTCGCATATTTTAGGCACCAAACCTGAAAACTTTTTGGCTAAAATTTTTAGATTCACAAATACCTCTGGGAGCTCCAATATATTTAAACACACACAGATTGTGTGTGTCTTTGATAATAAATGAAACCTAGTGTTAGTTTTCTACTGCAAAAACCCAAACTGCAGCCTGGCAACCCCAGTGGCACTAGAAGGGCCCAAGTGGTTATACTTAAAGACAATCCAGACAACTCTCACAATATATTTATCATGCACCTGAATATTTAAATATTTCAAAGCTTTAATTATAGTGATAATGAAAACAAGTTAAAAAGCCACATGCCACAACAAGACTGAGTGTTTATCCGTATTGTTAATGTGATATGTTAGATTTCATTAAGCAGTAATGGTGTTGCAAATGAGCCACAAATTACTGTTGCATCTGTTAGAAGACCATATTAGTGCCAAATAACTGCAATTGCAGCCATTGGGTTATGTTCATTAGCCAGTTTCTTCTGATCCTGGCCAATCTATCTATGTTGGATGATAGTGGAGTTTCTGTAATGTGATAAATTACCTTGTTTTTAAGCAACACATTGATGAAAAAATATGTAAACTCCCATTATTCTGACTCCTTTATTAAATTGTGCTTTGCATCCGAAGTGATTATTTGAGCTTCAACAGTCTATACAAATAGCATAATCTTATAGAGAATCAGAGGGATCATCACTCCTGACCTCTAATGACAGCTGACAGGTTGTATATGCAAGCAAAGAGCTTTCTGCTTTATCCTGCATATACGTCCTTCATACGCGGTTATTAATTTCTATCATCATTAGCAATTTGAAGGATGACAATGTACTGTACAGCTGCTAATGATATCTTTCCGAAGAATATCTTTCATTAACTAGCATGCAATAGTCATTGTCTCCTTTAATTTAAATTACAATAGAGTATTGTTGTTATTTAATCAGAACTATATATTTTATTTTTTTGGAGCCCTAAACTGTGGCTGGATGCTTTTTAGACCAGATGCTATTTGCATCAGTAATCAATGTGTAGTGAGCAATTGCAATAAGATGACAAAAACAAAGGCAAGTAGAAAATAGTTTGGTTGGCTTACCAAATATGCATATTTTTTTGTATTACTTAAGTAATCTATTTTCTTTTTTTTTGGTTATAGAAACCAGTGTTAAATTTCTATGTCACACCCTTCCCCCAAAATATCTGCAGGTTACTTCTCCCCTTTTTTCATCACGTATCAGCTATGGAGCTTGTGTACTTTTGGTCACTTTTTTTGCAGTAGTTCCCCTTAACTGTTACCCTAAAATGTTCTTAGTTTAGTGAGTATTGACATGATTAGCCACCACAGTGCCCATACTAGCATAATCCTACAAATATGAAGAAATAGTCTTTAGGCCCCTTTTACATGGAGGGCCCGATCGGTCTGGCTGTCAGTTTTTCAGATGGACCCAATCAAACAGGCGTCCATTTACACCTGGTTACCCCGGACTTCAGCCAGGTCTAGAAAAACAAATAGCTGGACCTGATTGTGCCAAATCGGGGGAAGTCCATTGACATCTGATTCCCCATAAACTGACATGGAGTCCAGTTATTTCAGAGTGGACGAACACAGATATCACAGCAGTGACATCTGATCCGTACTGCTCCAAACAGGAGAGGATCTGTGCACGGATCCCCTCCTGATCAGACCCTGTGAAAGGGGAATTAGTGATGGCAAGACTTATTTATTTAGATGTGCCAGCTAAGTGTTTTATCAGTTCACCTAAATATTGTTGATAAATATAGTCCTTTTCGCATTTAGAAGCCGGAGATCATCTGTGTATACTAGTGGACTTTTCTATAACCAGTTTTTACCTTTTGAAACTCCTTTCTCTTTTATTGAGACATTTCTATGATTACTTACTTTATAGCTATACTCTCAAGATGTAAACAAAATATGGTACTGCTTAAATTAATTTAAAAAGGTAATAAAACCTTAGCTCCTTCCATGACATTTTGTCTCCCAAGTTTTTCTAACCTTTTCACAAAACCAGGACTGATTTTTATGATTGAGCGCATACATTACATAAAGCATTGTCAGTGTTCTATTGATATGTAATATATATTTTCTTGATAAATCCAGTTATGATTTTTCTAGTTGCTATGGGTACTATTCAAAATGTACAATATGTTTGGATGTACTGCATTACAAACCTTTGGAAGATGACCTTTCGTGATTAAGAATGGAAAAATACAACACATTTCAGTGTGTAAGAATAAAAAAATGCCCTGCGGCAGCTAAACTGCTGTTTACTTCAGCTTAACATATCCAGTGTTTAAACACTGCTACCTGAAAGCCTGGCATTCTTATCATCATCACTGCTTGAGAATTGTTTACGCTGAATAATAACAGTCAATGTTCCATTGCAATAGAAATATAGACAACAATTCAACAGTCTGCATTTCCTTGCTTGCACAAATCAAAGTAAACGGCTGTGTTTGGGCAGATTAAACTGCTGTGTGCAGTACACAATTGTCTGAATTTATGGTGCATGAGTATTGCATAATGTGAGCTATTTTTTTATTGTGGCTAGGTATCAATAAATAGGCAATTTGATATGCACTAAGCCTAATGTATCTGTTGCTGAAACAAACAAAGACAGATGTCGCTAATTAAGTACACATTAAAACACTGTTAATACTGGTACACTATTACAACCATGTGATAATTACATTTAAATCTTTAATCAGCCTGATCTGTTTATGCAAGGCTTTCAATATTTAAGCAACAGAGGTTTATTTTTTAAGACAACTGTTGGGATGTGAACATTTGTGTTTATTGTAAACTAAATCATATTTGAAAAACATTTTTTTTTAGTTTCAGTCTCTATTACATTATCTATCAAAGGTTATTCCCTCTGGCCATTTACTTTACAAAACACTTCTTTTGCTAGTTTTTTAGTTTCATAGTTTGTCTTATGATTTCTCAACATGCCTAGCTCATGGAGATAGGCATGTTGAACAGGTAAAATACAATATAGCTAGTAATTGTTTGTTTTACATTTTTGTGCATTTTTCACTGACTACCTAAAAAATAAATGAGACTAAAAGCCAATATATCTGATTTGTGGACAGTGATAGGTTCAATAAAAACAAAAGTAAAATACATTTTATAATGTAATTTAATACATTCACTGAGGTTCCGTGCAGAAGGTACATTTACAAAGCATTAATGGTCTCTTTAAAATGCACAAATTCTGTAAAGTTTTACTGCAAAGGATAAAGTTAGCACTGAACTGAGAAATTAATGCTGAATATTTCTGTCTGACAGACATTCCACACACCAAGTCTTGGTGATGAAGAGTTTGAAATTCCTCCTATAACCCCACCTCCAGAAACAGACCCTACACTTAACATGACCGATGTTCTTCTTCCATTCCAAGTTATGGGTGAAGCATTGACTGTACAAGGGAGTGGATTTACTCCTCAGTTCCCACCACAAAGTCTTGATCTCCCATCTATCACCATATCTCGGAATATAGCAGAACAGGAAGGAGCGCTACACAGCAATGGATTGACAATGGTGAGTGTAAAACCCAAGATTATCTATAGATCTATTGATCACCTGTTTTTTAAAATAGTTGGAAGAACCTTTTGAAATGTACAGTACTTGACAGCTTTGATACTCAGCTTGTAAATTTCTTGACAGAAAAGTGTTCTTTACTGTTAGAACTGGGAAAGGTTGAATAGTATCCCAGAAAGCGTGTTTGGCAGATTCATACGTTGGTTTCAAAAAAGATTTGTATAGAACAGTGTTCAAAGGCTTATTTCCCATCTATAATAAAATATATATATTTTTAGAGTGGGGAAGGGTTCAAATCTGTGTCTGGTTTTACTTGCTGTTTCTGTGGTCTCTCTATTTGACCTGGTAAACAGGACTGAAAGTATCGTACATTCCAAAACATTGAATTTTCACTAGACCATGAATAAAGGGAAAATCTTCCAATGGGGGCACTTGAATCAGTGACAACTAAGCGGGGGTTCCTGTATATTTTATAGATTTGCTTTCACTTCCTGTTTGACTGGAAGTGAGGGTAATTATCCCACATGGTACACAGAGACTGACAGGAAGTTTACACATTCCCTACTCCCTAGTTTATTGGGTAGGATTTATTTCCTCTAATGAGCCAAATTGGATTGGATCCCACTCTGTAAGGTTTTGTGGGCTATCTTTTGGTTTATTTACTTTTTCTTACAGTGTGAGGTACTTTTTTTTTTTGAAGGGAAAACCTGATATGTCTTGTTTTTTTCCAGCTGAGTCTGGTAACTTTTTCATAGTGTGTACCTGTGATGGAGTTAAAGGAGACCTATGAGGTGAGTGATTTCCACTCATCCTCCTAGTGAGAGCCAACAAAGAAGCTGTCGCAGGTTGGCTCTATTGATCGGGAAGTGAGCAGAAACATGCAGCCGATCCGATCACTTCCCGGTCCTCTTACTGCAGTGAGCGGTGACCATCAGTCACTGCTCCCCACAGTGATTCCCCCCCCTCTCCTATCCTCCAGCGCTGAGTGGAGGAACAAATCGGGGAGGGTGCGGGCACAGTTGGCTCTGTCTCTAGATAGGCAGTTTGCACAGCTGGGTGGATTCAGACAGTATTGTGGTGGATCCGTCCCGGCTTCGGCGCTCTCAGTGTATCACAGGCAATATCCTGCTATATACTGAGCTTTTTGTCATGGGAGGAGGTTAGTATATGTCCTTCGGTGACCCTAAAGAGAACTATGGGGAAAAACACTTACCCAATAGTTCTCTTAAGACATTTTACTTCTTATCCAGCCAGTCATCACAACATTGAAATTACATCTTGTGTTAAGTTACAATATGAGCTAGGGGGAAGCCAAACTTTGGTCCTCCAGCTGTGGTGAAACTACAAATACCATCATGCATCTGTCTCTGGAAGTCATGCCTGTCTCAGAGTCTTGAAATGGCTTATAGAGCTTGTAGTTCCACAACACCTGGAGGGCTTAAGTTTGGCTTCCACTAAGCTGGGACCTTGCAGCAGTAAAAAGGGTCACCTGGGTAGGAATTTGTGTTAACCCTTGTTAAATGCCTTAGATTAGATGATAGGGAATGCACTGCATTATAATGCTGGCTATTTTTTTATGAGGTACACCCATCTCTTGAAGAAAAAAAAAAACCTTCAATAGTTTAGACAAATATGTGTATACCTTACAAAAGATCTTTTACATTTTAATGAAGAGGGTGGTCAGTATATTAAGTTGTTTGGTTTTTTTTTATGCTTACCTATTTCCACGGTGCAGTTGACAGGGCTATATATACACTGTTTCAGCTGTCGTAACTACACATGGTTTTCTTCCAACTGGAACTACAAACTTGCATCATGTAATTTGCTCTGAAAGATGACTTGAGACCCTGGCTATTACCAAAAAAAATGTGCATCCAACTGGTGAATCCATTACACTTTCTAAATTTCTCCATGTTAAATATAAACAATTGAAAAACAAATTTAGAAAGAATAACCCAAAATGACTAATCATTTAAACATTATTAGGAGCAGATCACAATAGCAGTCTGCAGTAGCCAATCAAATTCCACCTACTAAAGCAATTTCAGTACAGGATGGAGTGCAATTCATTGCTGGGGGGGTTAAACTTTGAGCTATGCTTGTTGGACTGTTTTAATATATTCTATGTATGTTTGTACTGTATTTATATATTATTGTATGTATTAATTTAACCAGTAGTTTGTTACAAATTGTGTTATAAAACACAGCATATATTATATCTAATAACTTGAGAAATATAATGTAGTTTACATAATAATGGCCAATAAAAGGCAATATTACTAACACAATGTAATTCTTGCATGCAGTGATGTCACCACAGAAGATTAGCACATTTCATTGTCAAGGCATTCTCTCCAGTAATGAAGTTTTCCCCTGCAGTTTCATAAAAAGCCTCAGGGGTCTGAGTTCCTGTTCAGCAATGAGAAATGAAGTGAATAATAACTATAATCATTGAAGGAAGCAACAGGATCTAATAATGTAACAAAGAAAATTCTAATTAAAAACAAAACTGCCAGTTCATTTACTGTTTTGGGTGACATAGCGTGTTTGGGAAGCAATACAGATTGTGTTGTTACTCATGCTATTGATTATTCAAAATGATTCATATAGTTTTCTGGTTTCAAAGTATACATACTCAAAGATAACACCTTTCTGAGTGACACATTTTGATTTCACATTTAGGGCCTGCTCACAACAGGTGTGCAGGACAGCGTTGCCCAAATCTGCCCCAATGCATAGACAGAGCAATGTGCCTTGTTTCCTATTAAGTCAATTCACACCACTGCATTGCAAGGGTGTGCGCTGAAAATAGTACAACATGCAGTACTTGTGCATGTTGTGGCACATTACACCACATTGCAATGTGCTGCAGTGAACAGAACTTAAAGGGTTATTAAACCCTCAGATTTGTTTAGCATATATCTACTGCAAGCAAGCAGTAGATATATGCAAACACGTTTTTTTTTTAAATACACTTTCAAACAGGTTGAAACTTACCTGTGTCTTCACCGCACGCTCCCATTCGAAAATCTCGGTCGGCCGCAAAGGACATTATACTTTAATGTCACTTTAATGAAGTATCATTTTCTGAAAGGTCAATAAACCTCAAACAAAAAGGTTATAGTGCAATGTGCTGTATACAACATTTCGACACCTGTGGCAATGTTAGAATGTCCTTATGTTGGTGCATTCTGCAGCTGTGGAGGGGAATGCACCAATTTGAAGCCCAACTCCAGCCAATTGTTTTCTTTTTGTTTTGGATAGATCAGGGAAGGCTTAAAGCTTTTGTCAGTTTTTTATTATCTAGTGTGTCTCTATTGATGATATTTTCTCTTTCTTGTCATATCCAAAAGTTATGGGAAATCTTTTCTACAGGTACACAAAAAACAAACAAAACCACATTTTAGTAGCGTGAGGATGGGTTAGAACCTATGACACTGTTTTTGTATTGCTTAATTTTTTATTGTCCTTTCTTCTCATCTGATCATGCATTTAGGTATCTTTGCTTATTTATTTTGAGTCCGTATGGAGCATTTATTTTAAAAAAATGATCTTTTCATTTCTCTAACACATCACATGTGTTTGGACATATATGTGTTGTGATGTGTTTAAGCGTCCGGCGTGTTGTGCATGGATCTGCATTGCGGGCCCAAACATTTTTGTTTGTTTTAGATAGTGTGGAGAAGGTCTTCAACCTCTGCAGGGTACTTACTGCCATCTTAGTTCCGAAGAGGAAAAATTTATCTCACTTTCTGTGCAGTTATTGGCACAGGAAGAGAGCACAATATATCTGATCAATCGGTAATAAACCCCTTTGTAAGGGTTAGGAAAATGCTGTGCATTAGACATGTAAGTTTAATTTTGTTCCGAATGCAAATTCATACAAAAGTTGGTAAATTTTGGCCAGCAGATGCATCCGAATGTCTGAATTCCAGTGAGGCTGAATGCAAACAATCCAAGTGTTCTTTTAACGAAATTTCACATTTGCTGAATTTCACCAAAATGAAACTAAATAAAACAATCCAAAAACCCAGTGAGAAACTAAAAAGAAATTCCAAAAGATCCCAATCTGTATAACGAAACGGCGTTTGGGCCCACAACCCAAAATTGTTGCTCGCTTACATGTCAAGTCTACATTACAGTTAGGGGGGAGATTTCTCACACTGTATGGTCATTGGGGCAGAAAAAGAAAGTGGTCTCTTAATTGATTAGGAGAAGCATGGACAAATATCTTAGTGGCTGTATTTGTTGATTCTTCCATGTATGCAAGCCTTTACTCAAAAGCTAAATTACACAGTAATGTTTGAGTACATCACACAGTTGATGAATTAGCTGACACATCCTCAAAGAGGTTAGGCTTTCAATACAATTCCTGTTTAGCCATAAGCTAACATTTTTCACCTTCCTTGACATCATAAATAGTTTGGATTTTAGAAGCTTACAGCTTTTCCAACACACCTTTTGAAAACATTGTTCTGCTCTACCTAGCAGAACAGAAGGACATCAATACACAGAACTGAGCCTTGTTATTGTGTACAAACTAATGTACGTAACTAATCATTCCAACACTTCACCTTTCTCCTGGATTATAATATGGAGCGTGGCAAGAACAAAAGGCAGCCGTGAATTAATTTACACCTGCCTGCGTTAATTTGGCAATTTATTATCTAGATTGCTTGGCCTTTCTGTTTGTTACACAGTTCATTAAAATCTCCCAAATCAATATTTTGACAGCCCTTAATAAGATGTCTATCTGCTCTTACTAGTAGGGCAAATATTTATCAATACGCAGCAATGAATCATTAAATTAGTTATTGGGTAAATTGATTTACCTGTAATGAATATGAAATTTGAAGGAAGCAATGCTAGATACCTATGGGTAACAGCGCTGCTCCACATAGGTATGCATGGTATGTCTCCAAGAAATCTACTAACTGTCTTTATAAAAACAATAAAGGTCTTATTTATCTACAGCAACTGTGAAGTCAAGACTTTTTCTT